TGAAAAGGAAAGTTTACTTCAGTCTGTGTAGAAGGAGGAGGATGGATGACATTAGTGAATCAGCTGCTTAATTTCTGACAGATAATTTTATCTTTCTGCATTATGGAGTTCCATCTAAACACTTATGGTTTAAAGTATTTATGTAAAAATTATAAAGCACTTGACATTAATATTTGAGAGCTGTAATTATATTTTAAATGAAGTTATTCCATTCCTAAATAGTTGCAGTGTGCCTGTAGAGAGACTTAGAAAACTAGAGAATTTTTGTCTACAAAAGCTGATTTAAATTCCTGGTTAGCAAAAGCTCTTCACAGATCCATGCTTTTACTTTTGCTTAAAGATAGAATTCTTTTCAGGAACTTCTTTTATTTTCAGAGTTTGTTCATGAAGTTTTGAAGAACAAAGGTACATATACATTTTTTTTTGTTTGTCATTTGTTTGCTGTAGATGATCGCATTCTCAAGATTCTCTAGCTGTGGAAACAGTATAGGCTTTAAGCAGTCAGTTATCCTGTAAATGTGATTTCTTGCAGTGCTGAAAATGACAAATATCCCTTCATCCACAGCCTCTTACCTGGAATTTCCTTCTCCTTTGAATTTTTAATATGCAAGAAAAAAAAAAAAAACAAGCATTAGGGTCCTTTCTGTGGCCCAGAGAAAGGTGCTGTGAGTTTAACCTATTCAGAACTACTTTAACACTTGCCAGTAGACTTTGGCAAATATTTCTGGACTCAGTAATGTTCATGTTTTAGTTTGCACTGCAAAGATATAGCTGTACTTGTAAAAACAGAAATTAAAAGAATTAAAGGAATTAAAAATGGATTACATTGTATTAAGGCCTTTTAAAACTCATCAAAAAGGATCCTTGGGAGATCCTGTGACCATAGCAAATGGGGTAGGGTTAGGGTATTAAACAACAGCCATACCACAAGATGCTGTCAGGATTTGGCCTACTGTGTGGAAAATTCTTTATCAAAGCAAAAGAGAAATTTCTTCTATAAAGTGGAGCAACTTTCAGTCTCCTGCTCTTTCCTCATAACTTATTTTCCACTGAAGTTATAAAGGCCTTAATTTTTTCACTCCCTGTTATCTTAGCTTTATTCTTCATGTTCTTTGCTTCTTGGAAGTCTGAGTAAACAATTTCACTCCAGCTGAAACAGGTACCTTGCTGAGTACCTTGGATTTCCACATACAGAAGAGTTGCAAGATGGTCAAAACAAATCCTGCCTAAACCACTACTTGACTATGCACTTTTGCAGGGTTTTATTACACCAGTGTGTTTTGAAGAGGTATATATCATAAGACTTGACTTAGTTGGATGACAAACTGCCAACTAAGAGTAATGAATCTGCCCTAAACTGTTCTTATACTTTAACTCGTATACATACTATTACAGAATGTAAATATAACTAATTAGAAGTTATGTGTTTTATTTGTTTATAACTACTAGATACATGTATTATATTTATATTTAGCATACTGACAGTGTGAAGAAAAGCAATGCCAGCAGTGTTCCTTCTGCCTGCTGCAGTTGTAAAATGAGGTGTTTATTCTAACCTGAATTATATGATCAGATAAAATCAATGGATTTTTTTGCCTGAACAAAATCTTGTATTATTGGTGGCCTTATCTGATCCCCCCATAATAAATACATTTCTTAACTCAGCAGATTCGTAAGTGTAAACTAGTTTTATGCAGTTCTTCCATTTTCTCCAGAATGACTACACATTGTTTTGCATCTGGTTAGAGTAATTTCTACTAATGATGAGGTGACATTTATTGAATGGCTCCTCCTGTGCTGCTCTAGCTCTCTTCTTCCAGTATCAGTCTTTGAGCCAGTTTTAAGCCAAATGCAGCAGACCAGGACAGCCGACAGACACAGGTAGCAGAACAACTGTAGCCCAGTGTCATGCAGACCTCTCTTAAGATACTTGAAAGAGATCTTTTCCAACTCCTGAAGCACCAGGATGACCGCACTATCCAAAAGGCAAGTTTTACACAAGGGCAATACCATATGGCCTGGAAAGGCCTCTGGAAAGGCCCCTTGATTATGGACCCCCTCCTCGATTCCCAGCCTCTGATGATGGCATGCGTGAGACCCAAATAAATTAGCTCATACAGTTACATTTTGCTGGTTTTATGTGTTTTGACAGCTTGGGGAAAGGTATAGTGTTTTGTTTTTATCATGTAATGTTGGTAGTTCATGATGAAACTGCGGATTGCAGGTAGCTGCAGGATGAGAGGCAGGAAAGGGGCATAAGCGTGAATGTCCTTGTTTCTGGCCAATTGTGTTCAGTTGTTGTATGAAGTACCCTCTTCATCTATGTGTAGACGAGTAGAAACAAAAAAGTTTTGTAG